GCAAACACCGTATCTCTGAACGGTCAGAAATCTGTTCAGCACTTTTTTCTACTTACATAATCTTGCATACCTAAAATACTGCACATACAGCAATGCAACACATCTGACAGTTAATCTTTCAAGTGTACAGTTATCTTGACATTTGGCTGACATTATTTAAGTTTAGGCAAAGTGGGGAAAAACATGTAACGTGCTTCTCATACCATTTAATGTTTTATTAATTTCCCCGTGTTATCTCAGAGATAACACACGCGAAATATGTGTTTTATATATGCCTGTATTTAATTAACAAACAATAGCTGCATTTCATTTTGCTATTTAACAATTATGATCATATATAATTTGGTTTAACACGAAGGAACAGTGTCACTAATTCTATTGTAATGTACTTACTGACTCTTGAGGAATGGCTTTGTTTAGTCACTGACAATGACATGATCTCATAATGATTGTTTTTCCTTGGGATTTTTTTCAAATTGAAGAAAAAAATCAGACTACAGCTGTGACGAGATTAGGGGCCTGCTTTGTGAAGCCTTTTCTTTTTTAACAATCCACGTAGTTATTTGTCCTTCTAGATCATTTTTCCCTGCACTGTTTAATCAACCAATGGGGAACTTTTTGTTGATTGAGTAACCTAAGATTCAACGCTAGATTCAAACTGGAGTGCTCATCTTACCAAACAGGTAGCTCAGGCATTAGAGCGAGTGGCTCTCAACCAGAAGTTTGTGAGTTGAAATCCTGGTTGGGGGTTGACTCAGCTCCGTCATCTCTCCGGGGTTGAAAAAGTAAGCACCAGTTTGTGGAGGAAGCAAAACAGTGGTTGTCCTACGGATAAACTCGTCTGTGCCACAGGAATTAGACATTTCCACTGCTGGCTATGGGCTGTGAATATGAGTTGAGCACCATCTCACCGGTCATTTAAGCAGGACATCGCTTTGAGTGGTTGTCATGGTCGCTCGTGCTGAATGCACTTATTTCGCACCGTACGTAGCCAACCGTGCTAATTGGGAGGAGGTGGCAATATAACTTGCACATAATTCTTTGTCTTCATGAGCAGGTGTTCTCTACGCTTGCCATAATGGGGAGCGGTGCTGCTCTGGGGCTTTGGTGGTTTCAAGTACGATGCGTTTTACAGTCTTATGCTTCACGTGAGCCCCAGTGCCATCCTTAGTGTGGGCCCCCTTGCTGCTTGTTGTGTTAACCTCTTTGACCTGGAGTTGTCCATATATATATATTTTTTTGGCATAGACCACGAGATCTTAGCAAGGTCAACGAGCGTTGCTGATGACACTCGTGCTTATGGCTTTAGATATTTTCAATAAAATTTGACTTTGTTATTTATCCAGGCAAGAACTGGCGAAACTCAAATAATCTTTATATAGGGAAGCGTACAGTAATTTGTAGTCCCCATTATAATTCATGCAGAGCTGTATATAAAATGTATCAGCGAGTGAATTTGGTGATATATTTGTATTAGAATTACGGTGTGCAATACATCACATGGTGAACACATCTCGGTACATAGGGCTGGCTCGTTTGCACCGGGAAAAAAAAAAAAGAGATATCGGGTTCATATTTACAATGCCAATGCTGACTGATTCTTCTATATAAGGCAATGCAGAATACGCAGTGCAATAAAGTGAGAGCCTCCGCTAATCCACGGAACTACTCATTTTCTGCACCGAGTGCTTGTTATGACAATGGAACGACAAACTCCATGGCTGGAACCCGTATCCACGACTGGCTACTGTGTCTCCTGGCATGCTGGCGAATTCTGCACCGAAGATGCGGTGCCGAGCAGCTCGACCTGGCGCTGTCAATGTGGGCACGATGACTGCAATGGTGCCGAGGAATGGAAGGAGGATGAGTGTACGGAGCGAGGTGAAAGGTTAAGGTGCAGCCCTGTAATGCCTTGCTCACGCCACTGCTGAGTGGAAGGGCCTCCACTCGAGGGGCGTTCTAGAGAGCCCCTTGAGAGGGTATTGGGCCTGTTATGTTCAACGCTGGCCAGGCGTCTCGACAGAGGTAGGAGTCTCCACACATTACCACACCACAGGCGAGTCTGCCGATTGATTAACTGCGCTGCAACCCCTTCATACTAATGGGTAGACAGAGGAAAATGGGGTATTAGAAACTTGGCCATTGTTTTATGAAATCCATGATCTCTGGATTTCAAGTTCAGTACCCATGGAGCAGGAATATGGAATTTTTTTTTCCACATCGTTGTCATCACAAGGAAATACATTTTGATTGGGGGGGGGGGGGTTACAACCTTCCAAATATGTTGAAAATAGAGAATATTTAAGTATAATAATCTGCACAGTTTTTTTATTTTATTTGAGAAACATTATTCCATGCAGCATGGAAATAGAATCTGAAATCATGAATCAGAGTTCATAATATATATAAACCACTTTTGTTGAGTTAATTGGATTCGTGGCATTCTTAAGGTTTCCTCTAAAGCTTCCCATACTGCACTGCCACATGTGAATGAAACTTATATATTATATTTATTAAGGCAGTGAAGTGGACTTGGGCAGGGCATGGCGCTTGAAAGAACTCTGGCCGGCATTCAAGGGTTAAGTGAGAGGGTGGCAGCCAAGGCGTGGAACGCGTCCACGGGGAAGTCCGCTGAGGAGCTGGAGCGATGAATTCAGCTCGCGTGGTCATGCTCCGTGGATTGATACGTCGTGGGATCATGGAAGATGGTGGCAGCTTGGAGAGGCCTTCATCTGCCAGTGGATTGACCGTGACTGGTGATTGTGATCTTGATTATTCTGTTCATGGCCATAAAATTAGTGAATTTATATTGCACCTAGATACGACTTTCATCAGCCACGTGGTGGCCCTTTTTGCCATTCCATATTCGATAACGGTGTGGAGTTTTTGCCTATTAATGACGTGATTGAATAATAGTATTAGTATCATCATTGTTGCATAATGTTTGGTGTGTTCAAAGGCTTGTTTCAATGTATGAAGCTGCTACGTTGATAATGGACAGTGAAGGAATAAAGACAATGTGTCGTTCCATTCAATAACGCATGCTGTTTGGCACGTTGGAATTCATTATTTACCTTTGATCAAATCCCGCCCGTTACAGATTGCTTTTGTTGAGGGGGTTCACGCACAATCATAGACCGCATTCAAATGTAGTCGCATAGACTGTTGTTGGTATTTGAAATGGAATTAGAGGGTCAAATTACCTTTGTTCAAAAAGCGGTTCCTTCTGTTGGCTTTAAATAAAGTTGAGCCTTCCCGCTTCTCGAGATATAAATTCAAACTGTAAGGTGAACAACTTGATGGCATGCCGCAACATTAACTCGGAAATTTATTTAGTCTGTTTCTTGAAGCGAAGGCGCCCATAACAGACTCTAGCTCAAAAACTTCAGAGGTTGTAAGCTGTTAATCGCAATTCAAAGATACCCGTTGCAGGGGAGCTGGACATGTGCACCTTATGACGGTACCCCGGGGTACCATAGTACCTCGGCTCTCGCATAATGTCCGCGATGCAGTAATTTTTAGTCTGTTGATGGTCGGCGATGCGGCGATGCGGCAATCGACTCGTCTCGACGAGCTGTACACGATGCACCACTACGGTGCGGTCGAGCGTTCAGGGTTTCAGCACAATCTTCCTCGCTGAGTTTCGACATCGTGGAGTAGCACTGATTTCGGATTGATTAGTACCCCAGTCGCGGAGTTAAGTAACACCCCTGGAAAAAAAAGGTGTCCCAGAAATAAAATATTTAATTGCCTCGGCCATTTTGTATTATTTGATACCCCGGGATACCGCCATAAGGATCATTTGTATGTTTGAAACTATGCTGTCAAGTTCTAAATGAGAAAACTAATGTGAAAATAGCTTTTGCTTCGCAGTTTATTACACGAGACCTGAAATCCCAAATACTATGACACTGTGAGATGCTGAGAGAACCACGGACGAAACAAACAAAATATACCTCAAACACTTTTGCTCCGAAAACGCGTGGTTAATTCTTGCAATAAATTTGCTGTGCCTTGCAGACATATGTTTTAATTTTAACATCGAGGCAAATAAAAACATTTTGTTACCACATGCTTTCTGAACTCATGCCATAAATGGATGACATTTGTTCAATTGTTGCCATACATTTGTATCCTGCCTGGAATTTCGATCGGCGCACGTTTAGAAAAGGGCAAAGCTCAAACAATTATTGTCAGTTTTACAATATGCTCTGTAAGTTCGAACGTTTTCCCTACGTCATACACATATCAGTGTTCTGAGCTTGTTCCGTGCATATTGGACGTTCTTTATTGGCCAAAATGCATGCAATAATAATTTAGAGACTGCTTGTTAATCCACTGCTGGATGAAGGCCTCCTCATGCCGATGCCTTGCGCTCCCTGAGAACATGCACGGACGATGGGAGGATGGAGGAGCAATGCCCAAGTGTGGGTGCAGAGGTGGAACAATCGGGGACGATGAGCCAAAACGCTTTTATCCTTAGGTGGTAATAATAATGGATCACAGCACGTCATATATGAGGGTTGTCTGACCAGACTTGACTCGCGCTGGTCAGTGTAGGTGAGTGAAAGACAGGGGGTAGGGGTGCGGGGGTGGGTAGGTCCCCAGTAGTTGTTCAGATATCGCTCGCCACCGATGTTGCCCGTGCCCGGGAATCAAACTCAGGTTGCACGGTTCGTCCCCCAGAGCACCTGCCACTACACCACTAATATCACTCTGCGAAATGTTTAGTGATCTAATTCCCCAAAGGCAGTTGCCAATCATGCTGATTACGCATGGGTGTTGTATCACAGACTCCAGATTCGGTTTCACTTGACAGTGAGATATCGTTACTCGACACTTTTGTTTCCCTTGGAGCCACTGTCGCAACAGAGCCCCATCCCGGGAAATCGATCTGGGGGGGGGGGGGGTGGGTGGAGGAGTCGGGTGGAAACTGACGCTCACTTAATGCCGCTCATCGTGACTGAACAGCCCTATGCCGTGCGCGTGTCCACGTTCAGGTGACGAGGACGAGGACGACGACGGCTTCCAGTTTCCGCTCTCGCCCAAAGTGGAGAGGCTCGCCCTGGCCAGGAGCCACCAGCCTCTCCCGCAGATCTGCCTCCCCGATGACTGCCCCTTCGAGAGGTCGCAGCAGCAGCAGCAGCAGCAGCTGCGGCGGTCACGTACCCTGGGCCCAGGCCACTTCCGCAAGAGCCACTCGGTGGACGAGAGCCTGGGCCAAGCGCAGGACTCGACCGGACACCTTCCGTCACGGGGCCACACCAGCAGGGCCGACGGCTGCCGCGCCGGACTCAAGCGCAAAGCCGTGAGTTCTCGCTGCGCGCTCGGGGGCTGCAACACGGCTCAGTTGCTGGGTTCACGTGCAGGTAACAGCCTGCAGCGGGGTCAGTTGTGTAAGTGAGCTGATGGTCTCATCCCAGTCAACAATGGTAAAGGTACAACCCTGCAATGGCTTCTGTTCATGGGCGGAATTTGCCAGGGTGGGGGCGGTGGGCACTGGGGGCTGTGCCGCCCCCGCCCCCCCCCCCTAAAAAAACTGGACACGTATTAAGTTATTTTCAGTATTTTACAATGAAGATTAAAAATAAATAATTATGCGCGCCCGCAATTCCAAATGTGAGGGGCAAAGTGAACCCCTGTCCCCCTCCACCCAAATGTAAAAGTTAAACTCCGCGTCTCCTTTTATTGCTGGTGGAAGGACTTCGACTCGAGGATATTTTTTGCCTACTTTGTCATGCTTAGCCACACGTCTTGGAATAGGCGGCAGTACCCACACTTTACCTCACCACACGTGACCTATCGATCGAATAACTGTGGTGTGTACCCATTTATACTTCTGGGTGGACAAGTGGGGGCTTGGGGGGATTTATGCACCGTCAGTCGAAACTTATTTCGCACCGTACGTAGCCAATCGTGCTAATCGGAGGTGCGGGGGAGAAAGGGCAATAAGCTAAAGATAAAACACAGTCCTAAAGAATCGAGCTTTTTCAATCTAGATTTAAATGCGCATCGCTCCGGTGCCCCATTGTTTAAACTGCCGTTCCGGGACATGGAATCAAATCGCTGACCTCTGAATTGCAAGTCCAGTGCTCTAACCTTGACACCATGGTGGCACCCTTCAATGACCGCAGTAGACAAAAAAAACCAACCCCATAATATTAAATCTTGATTTGAATGTTGATTTGAAGCTTTCGTAAATTTAGTTGTTCACCTAATTTGGTCAAATGTAAGCTCTGAGAGTAAATATATCTTATCAGTTCTACTGCAATGTGAGAGTGCGTTGCTGCTGCCTCCCCTCCTGTGTGTGGATAGTAAAGTTCACTTGAAAGGACCTCAAACATTGTGAATAGATACTCCGTCTCGTGACATGATGACATCACCACAATTGGAATGCAGTTGGGAAAATGACAATGAAGGAGAGCCCTAGCAGGCTGCATATAAGTAGTTTTCATTAATTATGTTATTTCCAACCTGCAAGTTCACGAAATGGAAGTAATGGAATTGATCTGTTGAGCTATGTGTAATTCTGAGTGTTATTTCTCTGCACTCGTGGGTTTCCCCCAAGTAGATCCAGTTTCCTCCTATGCAGCGATGAAGCACGTGCATATTCAGCGTAAATATATATATAGTGTTATAGATTATATATTGGTGTGTAGGAAGGGGAGGTGACAAACTGTTAAGTGAGGTGCTAATCAATAGCTCGAGTTTGTCAACAACAATTTAGTATTAAAGGCATTTTAAGATTAAAATCGTTCTCATGGAAGAGGAAGATGGTTGCCTAACTCGCCTTCTTCCTAAAGTAGAAGAGCGAGCAAATTACCGAGACGAAGACCGCTTTGAAAGGAAGGACAATACCGGAAGTAGTCATGCTCTTTGGTTTTATTCGGTAAAGTCACGTAGGTAAAATAAAATAAAATCAAGGAAAACAATTAAATCACGACGTTTCGGAGGCAACACAAGCTTGTGTTATTTTTACCTACGTGACTTTACCGAATAAAACCAAAGAGTATGAATCCTTGCAGTCACGAAAGCTTCAAAACTGGAAGTATTTTCGACACGGAGGGACGGAGGGAGTGGAAGTTGGAGGGGGAGATGCAGAGGTGACACGGGGGTAGGAGGGAGAAGGGGATAGAGAGGTAACAAAATTGTTCAGAAAACAAAAGCAAAAATGTATGAGCTGACATTTAGTACTTTAGGAGCATTTTGTTTGTTCGAGAAGTTATCTTCCAATTTGAGACTTTTTGTGCGGAGAAAAAAAAAAAAGGTCCATAAGTGGTGTAAATAGTTTATTCTTCGTAAAACCAAGTTTGAAAGATGAGCATAACATTTATGGAAGATCCAAACCAACGAGAGTATGCCAAATAAATAAGTAACAAATAGCGAGCAACAAATTCCAACGTCGCATTACTATCAGAGGCTATTTCCATTTTTGTTATGAGAATGTTATGAGTGTGACTGCAGAGCATACCATAACAATATTCCTTGCAGACACATCTTGAGTCCTGGCATAAACAAATTAAGGCAGTGGTGTGTGTGAAATATGCATGATATTCGATTAAAAACTTTAACAAAAACTATGCTTATGTGTGTACATGCTTTTTTTTTTGCAGGAAGGTCTAATCTCACTATTGGATGAGCATGTTTTGTTTAATAGCTTGTATCCAAACCCAATTTTAAAATGGACAGAATATTGCACTGTCTCCTTTGACGGAAACCTTCCATTATTTTTATGTAACCTCCAAAAAAGAACGCTCTAACGTGGACCCAACGTTGTTAATGCTTGTTTTGAAGCTTTCGTGACTGCAGGAATCCATACTCTTTGGTTCTTTCGGTAAGGTCACGTGGGTATAAAATAATAATAGAGCACGGCGTTTCGATCGCCACGCAAGCGGTCGTCCTCGGGAGGGAGGGAAGGAGGGATGGAGGCAGGGAGGGAGGGGAAGTTGGGGGGAGAGGTAGATGTGGACGATGGCTTGTGTGGCGATCGAAACGTCGTGCTCTATTGTTATTTTTCTTCTACGTGACTTTACCGAAAGAACCAAAGAGTATTGTTCGTGCTCTTTTTCAACGCAGCGTCATGGGAAGGGCTGTGATCGAACGCTGAATCAGCCAATTTTAGTCTCAGGGATGGGTGCCCGCTGAATGACGGGGCAATTATGCAACATATTTAAAAGATATATTAATGTCACTTGACATACCTACTACCCACTAACCACTTGCCTTATTCCACAGTCAAGTAGCTCTGAACATAATTTTCATCCCCGTGCATATTGCTCAATTGCACAGGGTCCATTGTTATTAGTTATTACCGATTCGGCAGCATAACCTCATAGCATAATGTCCATGTCTGTGGCATCGCGTCGTTACATCTGACTCAATTGCCGTACGAGTCTGATCCCTAAGAGCGCTCGCTTGATTTGACGTACATTGTGTTTGACGCAGCATTCTGCCGGCAGTGCTCCGTGCACTCGTGTGTTTCACTGTGGCAGCACGGAGGCCCTTAAGAGATTATTATTATTTTTATGTCACTTGCCGAAATGCGGTCACCCCCCCCCCATCTCCATCACCTTCCCCTGGGTGCCAGGTTCAGTGTTGTTGAAAGCTGGCGGAAGAGTGCTGAAATTAACCCTTTGGGAGGTCACGCAACCTAATGTAGCCTGTTCATGGCAATTGCGCTGTATACCACGTGGAATGCCATCAGAGGCAGATTTTTTTGTTACTTTCAACATGAAATGTTGCAATGAGGATTTTTGGAAGTTTTACATGAAGTAGAGATGCACAGCCTCAAGACTTGCAGAAATAGTAGTCCTTTTAAGGCATAGTGTGTGGTACTGTATACACAGTAACTGTGCGATGTACAACAAGGTTGTTTTGCTGTGGTTCATGTGTTTAACATTACAATATATGACACTCATATCAGTAAGAAAATATGAATCTGTGCTGGAACTATACGTGTGATATTTCGTGTCATCTTTAAAAAATATAAATATATTTAGAGATAATCAACTAGCAATTACATACTCTTTCCATCTTGAGATGCCATCACATTCAAATGCTTTATGAATCCAAACTGATTTATGGTCAATACGTTTTGAACTCGATGCTAAAAGAGTCACATAAATCTCATGTGAGTTTTATTCAGAATTCACCTGAGTGTGTAATTTTAAGTATTTACAATACAAAGTACAAATTCGCAAACACGTACGAAGAGTACACAATCATCTGGACGCAATGCCGTTTATAATAAATAAGACTTAGTAATTTTTCAAATCTTCAAAATTTGGACTATGACGCTGGCATAAATGGCCTCCTCTCTCTAATGTCACCAGATCTTAAACGTCCATTTGGGATACGGACGGCATGCATTTTATGGTGAAAACAGTTGCAATATTAACCAGGGCAGCCGGGGTGGCTTGAACTGCAAACCTCTGCAACAAGTTACATATGCATTTAAGCGCTCAACCACAGTACTCGCTCACATCTGTGAAGATGTTTTAAATGTTTAGATTGTGGGTGTGAAGGGGTTACATGTCTGTTCTCTTGGGTTGACAGCTGAGGTGAAAGGGCTGACGAACATAAAAGCGACATTTGCTTTGGTGATGCCCACAATGCGTGAGTGTAGTTATTCGAGAGGTGACAATCCCTTACTTTCCTTTCAGCAATTCTTTGGCACTGGTTCCAAAAGCCGAAAGTTTTTTTTCATGCAAGCACGCTCTTGCCTTTTAGAATTTCACCGTTGTAAATTATTATGCTATCAAACACCACACAAATGTTTTTTTTTACAATTCGTTTTACTTTACACAGGCTAGTATTTTGCAGTGATATAATTTTTGTACCCGAGCCATCGCATATTTATTCTTGGCAGGAAAGGGAAGCTTTTGCCAGAAGTATAGCAGCCATATTTTCCACAAATTAAATTTAGGTTCTCTCAGTTGTCAACATTTTTTTGTAACGCAAGGTATACTTTTCAGCAAATTTTGGTGCTCGGCCTTCTAACCTGCAGAAAGACGTTCGATGAGAGAAAATTCAATTACCCTTAATTTAGTTTCTTAGAGAAAAAACATGTTTGTGTCGACTCGGGTTACGTAATAACTACTGTTGTACCAAAATGCAATGGATGGGTGTAGGATTTGATGGTGGGAACAGGGTAAATTGTACAGATTATCCCCTGTCATAATCACAGGGCTTATTAAATATTCTGAAGGGAAAAGTGACAATTGTGAAGTGAAACCCAGCTTTTAAACACCGTTTGCCAGCTTTCTGGATTGGAGAATTCCCTCTTGCGAAGTTCAATCCTTGAGAGTT